TCCGACTAAAATAGAGGAAAGTCTAATTATGCTTCCCCTGAAAGCAAGCTCAGATAGAAGTACCCCCAAAGCACAGGGAAGGAAGTCTCAGACAAAACCAGAGGGCAATAACTAGCCCCAAAAGGGGTTTGCTGAATGTGGATTCTCTGAAAATGTTGTAGAAACAGAGAAGGGGAGGGAGTAATAACTGGAGAGAGAGGACTGAGTCCCCTGGTGGTCAGATTGATTAGTACACAATATCTTGCCTTAGTGGCAGTGCCACCTGGGGGATGAATTCATCACAGCATGTTTTCTGGTTATTTGAGGGAGATTGAAAGTTGAAAACTGAGATCTGGAATTTTTGGATCCTAATTAAACCAAGGAGTGAAAAGGAGCTATCACAGAGAAGGAGAGGAAACTGTAAACAAAGGCTGAAGGCTCTGCCTGCATAAGAGTTTTTTGCAGAAAGTAGTGTGGGCAAAACCACCAAATACTGGGGAGAACTGGGAAAGTTAACACCCTCAAAAATTCCACTGCTCCACCAAGAAATCATGAGACACACAAAGAACAGAGAAACAATGACCCATCCAAACGAACATGACAAAGGGAATGAAAGTACACCTAGGGATGACCAAATAATGAAAAAAATGGAAGACTAAAATACAACAATGTTAAACATAATTAAAGAACTAAGGGAAAACATAGGAAAAGAGCTAAAAGAAATAAGGAAAACAATGCAAGAACAAAACGACGATCTAAAGAAATACTGCAATTGAAAGGGACAATAACTGAAATTAGAAACACACTAGAAGGACTTCCCAACAGATATAATCAGGCAGAAGAAAGAATCAGTGAATTAGAGGATAAGATGGTTAAAATTACAATGAGAACGGAGGCTCAAGAAGGCTGAGCACAGTTTAATGGAATTATGGGACAACACAAACCCGTTGCTGTTGAGTCAATTCTGACTCATAGGGACACCACAGGACAGAGTAGAGCTGCCCCATAGGGATTCCAAGGAGCAGAACGTGGATTCAAACTCCCGACCTTTTGGTTAGCAGCTGTAGCTCTTAACCATTGCATCACCAGGGCTCCAAGACAACAGTAAGGGACCTAATATATGCATCATGGAATTCCAGGAGCTGACAGAAAGCAACAGAAAGATATATTTGAAGACATAATGATGGATATTTCCCCCAGTCTAATGAAGGATATGAATCTACAAATCCAAGAAGCTCAAAAGAATCCCAAGAAGGATAAACCCAAAGAGATTTACACCAAGACACATTAGAGTAAGGCTCTCAAAAATTAAAGATTAAAAAAAAAATCCTGAAAGCAGTGAGAGAGAAGCAAATAGTCACATACAAAGGATCCCCAACAAAATTAAGTGCTGATTTATCCTCTGAAACATTGGCGGCCAGAAAGAAATGGAATGATTTATTTAAAATGCTGAAAGAATAAAAATGACAATGAAGAATACTATACCCAGTGTAACTATCCTTCAAAAATGAGGGTGAAATTAAAACAGTCCTAGATAAACAGAAGCTATGAGAGTTCATATCCACCAGCCTGGCCCTACAAAAAATACTAATCAGAGTTCTGTAGATGGAAAGGAATTAACATACTAGAAAGTAATTCAAAGCAATACATAAAAGGAAAGATCCCAAATAAAGGGAAATGCACAGATGAGTATAAGGGATAGCAATATGGTACTCGTGCTTGATAATACTAATTGTGTTGTACTTCATGTTTCTTAATAACAAATGTAAAAAAGCAAGGAAAAATTATGTTGCAGGCCACGTGAAATATAAAAACGTAATTAAAGATAAGAGATAATAACAACAAAAGGGGGGAGAGAAATGGTATAGATATAAAACTTCGTATATGTTACTGAAGTTAAGTTGGTATCAATTTATCCTAGCATGTTATAAAATAACCTTGTTAAATGTAATATTCATGGTAACCACTAAGAAAATATCTAAAAAATATGCACAAAAGTAAAGGAGAAGGGAACCAAAATAGCTCACTACAATAAACCAACAAAATACAGAAGCAAGCAGTAGTAAAGGACAAAGACAAACAAGGCTTAAGACATACATAAAAATAACAAAATGGCAGAAGTAAGCCACTTCTTAGCTGTAATTACAGTGACTGTAAATGGACTAAATGCTCCAATCAAAAGTCAGGGAGTGGCAGAATGGACAAAAAAGCATGATCCAACTGTATGCTGTTTACAAGAGACACACCTTAGACCCAAGGGCACAAATAGGTTGCAAGTCAAAGGATGGAAAAAAATATTCCATGCAAATAATAACCAGAAGAGAGATGAAGTAGCAATATTAATGTTAGGTGATGTAGACTTTTAGACAAAATCTGTCAGAAAAGATAAAGATGGACATTATATAGTGATAAAAGGGTCAGTTAATCAAGAATATTTAACAATCATAAATACATATGCACCAACAATAGTTTAACTTAAGGTCTGCCTTGAGCATTATGCTCTTTTAAGAACAATCAATACAGGATCAAGTTGACAATAGCAACATGAAAGATTCGATAGGAACCATAGGGAGCAGTGAGTTTATGTTAATGAAGGAAGAACATCTCAAAAAAGGAGGGTGAGAATGGTTGCACAACTAAACGAATGTAATCAATGTCACTAAATGATACATGTAGAAATTGTAGAATTGGCGTATGTTTTTCTGTGTTCTCAACAACAATAACAACGTCAATAACATTTGGGAAAAAAGTTAATAAAATGATATTTATCCTTAAAAAAATCATCAAGTTAAATAAAAAGGAGAGGGGATATTTAGTAAGTGCCTGCTAAACAGCAAGCTATGTGCTGAGAGTTTTAAATATATAACCTCATTTAATTCTCACAACACAACTAGGTAAACACTAGTATACTTATTTTATGGATGAGAAAATTCAGTCTCAGAGGTTACAAGTATCACAGCTGGAATGCAAATATGTGTGACTCCATTTCCTCCAGCTTTTCCCACTAACTCTAGCACACTACCTTTAGAAACATACTAGTGGATTTTACATTTCCCTTTATGTCTCAGATTTCAGTTTCTTCATTTGTAAAATAAAGAGGTTGGGCTTAACCCCGTGTAAGATTCAGAATAACTCTAAAATTTTATGAATCTGAATCTTTTGGTAATCAGTACAAATCAATCAACAAATACAAGAGCCAACTGCTCAATAGGAAATGTGCAAAGAACAGGAGAAGCAAGTACACAGAAAATAAAAATTCAAATTGCTTTTGAATAGATGAAAATCTGCTCAACCTCACTTATCATTTTAAAAGTACAATTTAAAGCACCAATGATTTACGATTTTCACCTCTTAGGTCAGCAAAGATTGTCAGGAAAAAGATACTCATTTACATGCTTCGTAGAATTAAAAACTGACACAAACTCTTTGGAAGGCAATTTTGCGATATCTGTCAAAATTTTAAATGCGCTCAGCAACTTCACTTCTAGAATTTATCCTACACATAGACTCACAAAGGCATATACAGAAACATGTTCACAGCTGCTTGTTTGAAAATAGAAGAAGACTGGAACTATCCTAAATGTACATCACTAGGGGACTGCTTAAATAAGATATGTGCATAAAACAGAATTCAATGCAGCATGTAAAAAGAACACAGTAGATAAATACACGCTACTATGGAAAAATAAATGGATTGATGGATTGATGAATGAATAATACACGTATGCTTCTAGAAGCATAGGCAATTTCTAGGAGATGACTCAAGAAATTAGTAACAATAGCTTTCTCTGGGGAAGAAGCTGTATGTTTCAGATTGAAAGATTGACTTTTTTTACCCATTACCCATATATCCTTTTTTTTTCAATACATGAGTACTTTTCTATAAGCATGTATTACTTTTTCAAATTTAAAAAGGGATTATAATAAATAGTAATCTTTGGAGTCACTGAAGATCTCTTTAAAAGTGAGATCTATATCAAATAAGAAAATAAATAGACCTAATGGCAGTAAAAATAGTCGAAATTCTACAGAATATCCTAATTACTTCAGATATCTGTGTGTGTGTGAGCTTCAGTCTACAAGGAGTAACATACGGCACAAGCACCTCCAGCTTCCAAGAAGGGATGAAAGGGAATAATTTTCATCCTTCTTTCGCTCTCTTGACTTCCAAAATTCACATTCTCACATTCTATGCCATGTTGTGACAAACGAGACAAAATAAATGGCATAGGTGCTAATTACAAGTGCAGGAGAGTATGGAGCGTATCAATTTATTAGTTGTACTGACTGACTCATTTAGACAGAAAAAAAACTTCTATGCTTACCTGGACTACCATTGAGTAAAACTGTAATGCTAAAATAAAATACAAAAAATTCATGATCCATAATAATTATGAGATTGAGAATTACTTATATAATACCAAAAATATGTGTGAAATTCTTCAAGAAGTTAAGGATCTACTCATAACCAAGGCACTCTACTATGAAATCAGTAAACTATAATTATTAGATATACTAGATATTGACATTATTTATTTACAGAAAAAATGGAAAATTTCCTAGGAAACCAAACTGATAAGTAGTAAAAATATAAGAATAAAGACTATTTAAGCACTATGACATTGATCTTATTCCAATTTCATTCAAACCTCTGACCCATTAGTATTCTGTTAAATGATTCTCTCTTCTATGATGAATCATCAACTTCATCTTCCGCGCTTCTCAGTAGAAAACTAATTTCAGTATAAAGAGGTATAGCACACACATCCAAAAGTAGAAATAAAACTTATATTTTCAGATGAACAATAACATTTACACAAAATAAAATTCACATGAAAAAGAGCTATACTTCTCTAGTTCCCAGATAAAATATACATAATACTAACATGTTAATCTATTTATGTTTGACCCTGTCCGGTGGGAAAAAAATTATACCTATACACATTACTAGGAACTTTTAGTAAAGCACTGAATCCCAATATATCAGAATCAGGAATTTATATTTAAAAAATAAAATGTACCTTTTATCTGGGTAGCAAAATTCAGTGCCAATTTTGCAAAGAGATCTGGATTTTCAAACTTGTCTTCCTTAACTTTTAACCAGAAACAGTTCTCAGATAATTCTCTGGGCTCAATCTGAAACAAAAATAATACAGTTTGTTTCTAAATTATTAGTTCATATTTAATTTTTTAAAAAATTCACTTTCAGCAAGGTTAAATGACAGTTCCTTTATTCACCAATCCACCAAATCAATCTTACAATGGTCATATAGCAATAGGCTATATAGCCAATTATATTTTTAAAAATCTTCTACTGGAAGAAGTCTTAAAATAATTTAGTAAATCCCTCCTCCAACTCACATACATTCCTCTTGTTCCTGGATTGAAAAAAAAAAAATGGGAAAACTGAGACTCAGAACCCTGAAGTGAGAGCTCATGGACTAGGCTGAAGGCAATAACCATAATAATAACTGATACTTACATACTTCTTACTCATGCCAGGTAATGTATTAAATAATTTAAATATATTAATTTATCTATTCTTTAAAATAATCCTTTGAAACAGGTCCTATTATTCTCTCCATAGTAAAGGTGTGGAAACTGAGGGTCAGAAAGTTTAAGTGACTGCCCAAGGTCACATAGCTTGTAAGTGGTGGAGCTAGGATATACACTAAGGCAGTCTAACTCCAGAGAATTGTGCTATTAACCACTACACTGAAACCCAAGATTAGAACTGTACTCTTTACAGTATATCATGATGCTCTGTAATATGTAAATCCATTAGACTGTATGCTAAATTGCTAAATTAAACATATCATTACATTTATACGCACAGATAACTGGACTAGCAGCTTCTGGAGCCTATATTTTGGTGGTTTTTGCATCATAAAAAAGAAATATATTCCAAAACAATTAACTCCTCTTTTACTTTAATGAGCAAAGCATAGATGGATGCTGAGCTTTTAAAATTGATTTTGCCATCATTCTAGTCCAACTAATTTACTACATAGACACTGCTAGATATCACTATAAGTCTGTACTTGGATGAGTTATTTCCCCCAATTGGCGGTCTGGGTAATTATATTTTCATTAGAAGATTAGTTCATTCCTAGTTAATGGGAATTGTATCAACTTTTATAATAAGGTTTTTAAAAAACATACTTTTAAAAGATATTTTAATGACAAAGTAAAAAAAAGATTCAGGAGAAAAAACTTTCCTCATACATCATTATCAAAAAACAATAAGGTTATGTCACTACTGAATATTGTCACCTATTCCACACTATCTCAGAGTTTTAAAACTCAATAGAAACAGCATTCTCTAAGAGCAAGAATAACTAAAATAAGAAGGCTCAATTAAAAAAAATAAGATTAAATTTAAGAATGTTATACTACTTAAAGTTAATGATGGCAAAAGAATCAAAATTGCTTTTTATTTGGGTATATATTGTGAATATTATTTTTTATACCATTTTATTGATTTACTTTACATTGCACATTCATTTCAAAGTCTCTGTGAAGTTTTCAATTATCTAGATACTATACTGAAAGATGTGCATAAGATGGTGAACTCACAAATGAAAGCAAGAGTTAGCAGTCATATTCTCAAACATTATACAATACTTGTATGTAACAATGCAGTTATTCACACATTAAAGATCCACAATGGCTAGAAAAAGCCAAAACAAACAAACAAACAAAAAAAAAACCCTCTAGTTATAGCATTACCTTTGACCAATTAATTCTCTTCATGGACACTTCAGGTTTATATATTTTTTTCTGCTTCATTCCAAAAGGTAGATCAAGTGGTGCTCCTGGAAGAGGAGGAACTCCTCCAAGGGGTGGTGGTAGAGGAGGTCCTGCCGACAAAGGTGGTGGTGGTATGCCGTTCATTCCAATTAAAGGAGGTGGAGGAGGAGGAGGAGGAGGATTTCCTCCAGCAAGAGGCAGTGGTGGTGGAGGCGGGGGTGGGGGTGGCCCCACACTTAGCAATGGAGGTGGAGGAGGGACTGAAATTCCTGATGAACCTGAGAGTGCATGCCCCTAAAATATAAATAATCCCATGTTTAAATGCTTGTTATAAAATTTAGCAGCTAGAAATACATATAATAGATATTTGTAATTTTTTTTTAATTATTATATGCTCTTCATTTAATTTAGCAAGATCTAAGTGCTAAACAATACATGAAATAAATTTGTGTAGACCTTTGATAAGCATTATAAACTCTGGACAATGACTACTTTTGCCAACACACTAATGTTAGCAAAGTTGACATTTTCAAAGATTTTGTGGAATATTCTTCCAAAATCATAAAATAAATCATCTAAAAGATTATAAACATATGCAAAAAAGAAGTACTCTATATGGCTTGGGCCTATTAGACTAGTTGGGCTGAATACAGGATAATTAATACAAGGTCATGGATTTGATCCTCTTGGCCACCAATTAGCTTTACACAGAGTCTCTCTCTTAGCACCAGTGACCTAGCTGTCTACTAATACAAATAATTAATACCAAGTAACATCCATTTTCGTTGTTATGTAAGCTTATCAACATTTTTCCTTCTATTATTTCTTTTGATTCTTCTTATAATCCTATAATGTAAGTAGAGGAGTTCCTTGGTAGCACAGGTGGTTAAGTGCTCCACTACGGGGGAAGAAAAAAGAAAAAAAAAAAAGCTTGGCAGTTTAAATTCAGCCAGAGTTGCCTCAGAAGAAAGGCTTAGCGATCTACTTCTGAAAGATCAGTCATTGAAAACCCTATGAAGCACACTTCCACTCTGACACACATGGGGTCACCATGAGCCGGATCGAGAACCACGCAACTGGTTTTATTTTTGTTTTTTAATGTAGTTAGTGAAAGTAGTTTTATCTCACTGCTTATAGAGGAAGAAATGGAAACTGCAAAAGGTTAAGGGACTAACCAAAGGTCACAGTCTGAACTATGATGAGGACTTGTATGCAGTTCTTCTCACACTTAATGCAGTCCTCTTTCCTCTATAGCAGACTTCTTGTTGTTGTTGTTAGTGGCCATCGAGTTGATTCTGACTCATGGCAACTGGTGTCTGCAGAGGAGAACTGTTTTCCATAGTGTTTTCAATGGCTGTGTGTGAACTTTCAGAAACGGATCACCAGGCCAGTCTTCAGAGGTGCCTCTGGGTGTGTTAGAACCATCAACCTTTCAGCTAGTAGTCTAACACTTAACCGTTTGTGCCACCCAAGTACTTCATCTACAGCAGACTACTTCCTCATGAATGCATATCATTTTCCATGAAGATAACCAATTCACACAGATTGAATTATATGGAGAGTACAATGTACTTCTTGGATCCACAATCAATGCCCATGGAAGCAACAGCCAAGAAATCAAAAGACGCATTGCACTGGGCAAATTTGCTGCAGAAGACCTCTTTAAAGTGTTAAAAAGCAAAGATGTCACCTTGTGGACTTAGATGTACCTGATCCAAGCCATGGTATTTTCAATCACCTCATATGCATGTGAAAGCTGGACAATGAATAAGGAAGACCAAAGAAGAATTGACGCCTTTGAATTATGGTGTTGGCAAAGAATATTGACTATACCATAGACTGCCAGAAGAACGAACAAATCTATCTCCGAAGAAGTACAGCCAGAATGTTCCTCAGAAGCGAGGATGGAGAGACTTTGTTTCACATACTTTGGACATGTTATCAGGAGGGCCCAGTCCCTGGAGAAGGACATTATGCTTAGTAAAGTACAGGGTCAGCAAAAATGAGGAAGACCCTTAATGAGATGGATTGACACAGTGGCTGCAACAATGGCTCAAGCATAGCAATGATTGTGAGGATGGTGTAGGATAGGGAAGTCTTTCATTCTGTTGTACACAGGATCGCTACGAGTCAGAAGGGACTGGACAGCACCTAACAACAGTGTATTCCTACTACCAGAAAGCAACTTCAAATTCATTCTCTTAATGATAATGGATGGCACATGAAGGAGAGCATTGCATTCCATATTGCCTTCTTTTGTAATGATTTATTCTGTACCCATTTCTTTTAAACCATTACTGATCACAATGGTTCACTTTCCAAAATAAATGAATATAAACGTGGAATCGTTCATTATGAATATTCCTAAGAAACCTCTACCAATGAACAGCTATCATTTGTAAACAAGAAACGACATTGTATTAATTGAAAGAAAGGTTTAAAACTAATGAAATTTCTTGGCATAGTGTTATTTTTATTTAGGGAGACCAAGTCCTCTTATTTTTATTAATATAAATTTTCTACTTGGATTATTTAATTGTACTAACAATTACAAAATAAATTAATTCAAGCACTTTTTTGAAGCACATTTTTGGAACAACCAATTTAAAGGGTTTACCTATTTACAAAAATATTAAAAGTTAACAATCATAGGTAAATATGATCATGGAGATGATTCCATAATAGTTGCTGAGCACTCATCAAATATTTCATCCATATATGAATGTTTATGTGTCAGTATGCATATACACAACTAAAGTGCTTATATACTTAACAAATGACAATCCTCTCCTGAGGTTAGGAAGAAATTAAAGATAGGATTAAAACATGCAAAGTTCTTTTCATTTTATTTGTAATGCAGCAAAATTATACAAAAAAAATATGATTGGGATCAAGGAAATTCTGAGAAACATTGAAATATTTTTTCGGAAACATTTCTGGAAATTACTAATTCACCTTACAACTTTCTGTATGAATAGATTTTTTGAATAAATTGACAGGCAAATGCGTGTCCCATTTTTTTATTGATGGACAGAAAAATTAAAATACTACACTTTGTAAACATCAGTCAAATTCTGTCGTTTTAGATATTTTTTATGTTATTAACCTAGTACTACCACAAAAATATCATTACTTTAAAACAGAATTTCACTCAAGCTAAATATATATTTTACAAATTTAATACAGAATCTCAAATGTTTGTATTAAATGTCACAGACCGTCAGAAATCAACTCATAGCACCTTTTTCCTTCCCTCCCATGAAAAAATAAGAATTGAGTGATTAAATTAGGCCATAACATAGTATTGTGAATTGAATACGGCAAATGAATAATTTTGTATTTGACACCTATCTTAGTGCACTAGAATGTGCTGTATGATTCTGTACTTTTAGAGATCAGTTAATTAAATAAAAATAAGCAACTACTCAGCAAATGGCAAGGCCTGCCTTAGTGCAGGAGGGTCTTGACTAAGAACAAGAGTAAGAATACAAATACAAATAGGGAAAAGAAATAAAGACACTAACCTCAGAACTGTTTACATTCAAGTGGAAGAAATAAAGCAGGCCCAGAAACAAATACAAGTAGTCTAAAAAAGTAATACAGATGTTCAGAGAAATTTCCTAACGAGGCCTTTAGTGAAGATTTCCAAAGGATATCTTATATTGAGCTTAACCTTAAAGGAAATGTTTCCCATACACAGATGAACAAGGAAGGACACTTCTAACAGAGAATAATATAAGCCAGCATTTCTCAAACTAAGTTCCATGAATCACTATTTCCAAGAGATGTTAACAGGTATTCTGAGATAAAGTGTTCTGTTCTGTGGTGAAATGAGTTTAGGAAAGTTGCAGGAAAGAGGATTAGACAGGTTCTTTCACGTAGGACATCTAGGACTCTTGGATATGCTAATGAGTATACAATCTCCAAGAGGAGAATTCTGTTTACCAAATTTCTTAGACAATGAATGCTTTCCTAAAGGAAGACCTATTAGCATCTCTGTAACTAATGTCTAGGAAATGCAGGCAGAAGGAAAAGTACGTAAACAGTAAATTCCAAATGTGAGGGGAGGAATGATAACTTAGCTCCAACAGAGGCTGAAGTTAGGGGAGCAGTCACAGGCTAAGCTGGAAGGTGGAAATAAAGGAGGCTATGATTGAAGGCCTTAAAAGTCCTAGGAAGGAGATTTTTCTTTAATCGTGAATGCAACAGGCAACCATTGAACATATTGGAGCCTGGAGTGACAATAAACAGGGCAGTGTTTTAGGAAGATTAATTTGCCACTGACATAAAGGATGGATTTGAGGAGAAAGAGATTATAGGCAGGGGAAAAAGTTAATAAACAATTTTAATATTCCAGGCAAGATATAATTAGAGAATGGAACTGGGTGGTAGTGGGTTTTGATGTAACAGGGAAAAATAAGTCAGAAAGTGAAAGAACTGACATAAAAGAGTGACTAGCTTAATTTCTCAGAGGGTGGGACAGAGAAAAGACAAAGAAAATTTCAGTCTCATTCATTTAAAAGAATAGTGGTAAAATTTAAATAATCAAGAATGGAGAGAGACCAACCTGGTTTGAGGAAAGATAAGGAAAAAAAATGCATTGCCTTCAAGAGCAGAGGATGCTACAATGGGGTATTTTACCAATTAGGGGGTGAGAAAAACAGACAAACTGACTGAGTAGTTCAACGACTATAAAAAGGGAAGATGATACCAAACAGAGAGAGAGATACAGAGTGAGAGAGTTATATAGTAAAAACAAATGATCAAATATAAGTGAAATAGAATAAGCGTAGGAAAAGGCCACTGCACTTGGTAACTGGAAGTTTACACGTAACTTCTGAAATATTTTTTTTTCAGTAGACTGATGGAAATAGACCAATTCAATCAACAAACACCTACTGAGCATCCACTATCTTAAGAGGTAAACTTCAATTTCTTAATATTCATTCAAGACCTAAACTGTGCTGAAGAGAGTACTTAATCAGCTCTAACGTTAGACATCCTATTTAAGATTTTATGTGTATATAGGAGCTTTTCATTATAGGGAAATGTAAGTAGAAACGCAAAGTTTATAGGTTTTGAAATCATGGTAGTCGACATTTAAAGAGGTCTCAAAAAGCTTTTGGGACAATTAAAATTAATGAGCACTTCTATATTCTTTTTGAAAGTAAATATTATGTACCTAATTTTTTAAATCAGCATGAAAATTTCATCTCGAAAACAGTTTTGCTTGTGTAATACATTCTGTTAAAAAATATTCTGGGCAGTTTAAATAGCTAATGCCTTTTTTTTCCCCCAATCTTTAAAATGATTTATTGTCCTGGAAAATCAAATTTATACAGTTATTTAAACTACCGTGTGAAACTGCCAAAAAGTCTGCTTCTGGTCACATTTTTAACTTCCATCTAACAAGATAATTTTCTACTGTAGAACTCACTGTAACATGACACAAAGTCTATATCTTGTTTCATTACCTGGGTTCGAAGTTGCTGGATTTCTGTTTCGAGCTCTTTGATTTTTTCTTCTCTTTTTTGAAGCTCAGCTTGAGCTTGCTGCCGGGCTGTGAATTCTTCATCGAACTGCAATCATCACCAACATAAATGTACACTTAATAACATAGTTTAAAGAAAGCTTTAAATAAAATCATATAATAAATAATCTGGTTTTTTTTCTTTTTGATTCACTAGACTACAAAAAAAAAAAACAAAGTTCTTGATTATTTTCATGACAATTAAGTACCCACGTCAGGGTGGGGTGAATGCTGGTTGTGGCAGTAATGAAGAAATATGCCCCTGACCCAAGGAAAACAAACCCATTTTCACTTCTGAAAAGAAAATACAAAAAAAAAAAATAGGTGAACTGAGAAGTTTCCCCTCACACATAATGGACACTTACTGTTTTGTTGTTGAAAATTAGGTTTTGGAATAAATACTGATTTTTAACATTTCATACCATACATGTAAGTTTAATGAATTAGAAAATGAAAACTAAAAACAAGCTGTCAATAAATTCAACTTCTTAACTATATTTAACCATGACAAGAGATTGTACTTCTAGAATGCTCAAATAGATGTACATTAATACAAATTAGAGTATTTCTATTACAATCTTAAATGCCTAGCATCCCAAAAGAGATGCTTCATGAAATCTGACGGTGGAATGATAGGTATATGCCGTAAAGGCTTTCTCCCTCAGATGGCTAACCAAAACACTCATATGAAATGTTATGAGAAGGAAAGTGAGATGTTAAAGTATGGGATACTAAGTCTAAGAGACCATCTGAATGTTCTCTGATGTCATCTACTGAGTCCCATCTCAGCCCACACCTCAGTCAAGCCTCTAAACAGGTTCAAAAAAACTTGAATACTTAAAGTAAACAATGTTTATGTCCAAATATAGAAAGATATCATTTCCATTTTATTTGCCCTTTTTTGCCAATGCCACCTCAAGTCATTGTAGAAATCTATACATTATTCCAATGATGTTTTTTCTGTTTCGAAAAATGATCTATCTTCTTGTCTAGAATTGTCTGTAGAGTTTGTGGAACAATAACAAGTGTGTTCACTGTTAATAAATACTCACTCTCAGAGTTGATTTGATCTTTGGAAATTCTAAAATACCATATTCAGCTCTAACTCTGACCAAAGATTAGGTGAGCAAACTGGATAATAATAGTGTTTTGGTCAAACCCAGAATACTACTTAGTAATTATTTTATTCATCCTACCTGAGTACTTGGAAAATGTCCCAGAGTGGCTAATCCAAATCCTTCCTAGCTCTTTAAATTTCAAAACTAACCCAGATCCTCTACGGTCAATAAATGACCTTGTTTCATAGTTGACTGAGAAGATGGAGGTCCTCCAATGTGAGCTTGTCTGAATTCATTACTTTCCATGTGAAGATTTACCTGAATCCACTGCCATCCCTCTTCCCAAAGTTAGCTGCTCCATGTGCACTTTTCGAGCATAATGCATATACAAGCACACTGTCGACAATTTCCTTCTATAAATGGATTATTGGTACATTTGAAAAGAGGAACACAATCTTTCTGCTTATAATTTAAAATTATCTTAACAATTTGTAAACAAATAAAATCAGAATCACAGAAGCCTGAAATATGTGAGCTGGAAAAGGCCTTCTTAGAAGTCCGCTAATCTTATCTTCTCCTTTTATGATGAATAAACTAAGATCCAAGTAGAATAACTCACTTACTTAGAGTCACAGCTAATTAGTGACAAAGCTGATCTTAAAACTATCTCCTTACCAGGGATGGGAGTGGTGGTGGGGAAATACTTCATAGGCAATAGATAAGTGGTATCTTGAGTCAAGGGTGAGACAGTACACAATACAGGGGAAACCAGCACAACTTGTACAAAGAAAGGTCATGGAAGCTCCATAGACACATCCAAACTCCCTGAGGGACTGA